CCCCTCCATTCTCATTCCTTTGAAGATGCCATCTTCTTGTAGATGCTTTTGTTTTCTTGATATATTCAATGGTTTTTTCTATCCCAATTTTGGTGTATAGCAAGAGCTTCATACTTAATTGGTTATTGTTAAGACTATTTTTAAGCTGCCTCCGTTCGTACCTGTAGTTGCTGCAGCTGAGTAATAGGTGCTCAGGTGTTTCTCTCTTCCCACATCTACACCTGTCACTATCACTGAGTCCTCGCTTGTACAAGTATGACATATTGTAGCCATGACAAATTTTGAGCTGGTAGAATGCGCTCACCACTTCTCTAGCTGCACCTGATGGTATTTTAATTTTGCCATTAACCTTTCAGTCAAATTTCTTCTCATATGATGAAGGGTTTGTTGTAATTAAGGCAGCAACATGACTGCAGTAGACAAATAGTACATATTAGAATAATATGCACTGGCGCCATGAGATATGATTAACCCATATCATCACTCACTGGCATGAATAGTAATTAGCCAATAGATGCCTGACAGAATACATTGGCTTCAGGATCTCCAACAACCTTCCCATTTAGGTTAGATTAGGAAGTATGTTAGAGTTCACACTAGTGTGCGGAAAACCCCGCTTTCTTTTTTTTTTTTTTTTTTTTTTTTTTGAATCATTTAATGTGTATTCAGCTATCTAGCTATGACACATGACCGGTGCTATGTATACATGTGGGATGACTCTTTTGACGTTAGAGACACTCATACTCTGGATTTCATTTGCAAATACCACTATGAGGTATGTTTGCTTACACAAACAGTCGACCCTCCTCCGTTAGTACCCACCAAAGGGAATTTAAAAACCTTTAGTTATCCAAGCATGCCTTCGTCATCCATGCACACCAGCGCCGCGAGAAATGTGATTGTGTTTTGCCGGATTCGAACCAGCGATCTACTGTCTCAAGTGGGACATGTGTCCAAGCTATCCAGACTCTACTTGGCAGACCGGCCAAGACGATGTACCACCGCACCATCCAACTATGGCAGTATTTATAGTGTCGCCTGCACTCTCGCAGCCGAATTCTTGGCACGCACAAAGCCTAATTTGTAAAAACTCCATTCCAAAATTCAAAATTCCACGCCCGTCGAGACTGTATCCAATCCTCTGCATCATCTTATTAACTTGTCCTGATCCCTCTCACATCCATCCCAAGGAATTGTCTTCCAGATTTGTGCGCCACGCTTTGCTTCCTCCGTCGGGTGTAAATATCGGCGTGGGCGTGTATCTGGCGACCAGCTAAGGCCAGAGAAAGTCGACAAGAGGTGTGGTCATTGGGATTAGGATGTACTAGGTCGTACTTGTAAACTTGATGAGGTTTAGGTAGGAATCGATTTCGTTGGGAGTGAAAGATCGATATGGTGGAGTAATTTGAATCATTGCCTCGTGGGCCAACTTGTTCGGTATTGCGAAGTTTGACTGAACTTGGCTCTGGGAGAATATTTCACTCCCAGGTTCGTAGAGGACACCGCGTACAGGTGTTCAGTCTTGCCCTCCAACCCCGCTTTCATGTATATAGAGGGACTTCTCGCCACACATATAGAATTACAGCAATTTAATCACAATTAATTATCCATTAAACATCAGTAAACTTCTTCGTATAGTAAACACATTTATCGTATCTCTTAATCAAACTCGAGGCTAGTGTGTAATTCTTCCAATCTCCGGAACTAATTTCAATTGGGTTAAATTTTAATATTTTGTGCTTATTTTTCAGATAATTAAGCCATTGATTCTCAAAGCTGTGGTGAATAAGTGTCCCTGCCATAGCAAAGCTTGTCTCTTCCCTTTCAGGAGGAAGACATGATGCTGCTTTGGCAAGTCTAACTGCCATCTCATTGCCTTCAATGCTCAGATGACCTGGAATCCAGTTGAGATTTATGGTTGAATTTTTGCTCTGAATAATCTTTCCAGCTGCTAGAGCTCTGGGCCGGCAAGCCTGTCCTGGATTATCAGATGGTTGTTTAAGTCTATATAGGGCTGCTTGGTTATCTGAGAAGACTTGGTAGCTATGTCCTGGCAGTGCATGCTGGCTTGCATACTCCATAGCCAGGACAATGGCTTCGAGCTCTCCATTATATACCAGGACCCCTGGTCCAATATTAGTTTGAAATTGATGCTGAGTTCTGCTGCAGCTCCCAGATGCTACAAAGCCTAACCCAATACCCGTGCTTTCTGCCATTAATGAGGCATCTGTGTAAATAAATATTGTAGAGGTCCAGTCAGTTTGTTGGAGCAAAGATTGATGTCTCTCTGCAACTTCATACTTGGGAATCCTCTCAATTGTGGTTGTATATGGGAGTACCTGCCTTCATGGTTTAAAAGTGAATTGTTTTATTTGTTCTATTCCATCAAAATCAATGAGATTTGCAATTGAATTATTGATCCTACTGAGCTGGGTTGGCTTTTGAAGATCGATATGCCTGTTCAATCCCACGTTCACTGGATGAAATTTGGAGAATGAAATCCAAAGTATTAGTGTCTCTAACGTCAAAAGAGTCATCCATCATATATACATAGCACCGGTCATTTGTCATAGCTCTATAGCTGAATACACATTAAATAATTCAAAAAATACTTTCCACGTTAATATTCACTTTACAAGATCACAATAGTTGTCGAGTGACTCGTGTAATTTTGATGCCCTCCTAGCTAGTATTTTTGGAGGTTATAGTATGAAGAAACGATGTTGTCGATGAGCCGATTCATTCTTTTCTCCGGAACGTATGTGTCTTTGACTTTGATCTTTTGTCGGCTGTTGTTCAGCCACCGTTTGGTAGCATTTGTTGTTGTATTATAATGGCTTCGTTGGCCACTATTGTAGCCTTTGGCACTACCACAACTTTCTTCTTTGCCAGTGACGTTATTGACGACTTAAACGTCGGATGTGTTATCGGGAGAGTATTTTTGATGCAGGGGGAAATAGCTTAAAGTGAAAGGGGAGTGACACAATCTCGGCTCTGCAGATTCTACAGTGACTGCTGAAGCTTTACAGTGGATATCACTTATAATTGTTGAGCTTTGCTCTCCTTGAGTTGGCGATTCATTATCAAAGATGAAGTATCCAGGATCTAGATTTTGAGCACCGCATACAGTGTGTTCGCAGCTGGAGAAGTCACGAGCTACCCAGGAGAAATAATTACGATTTTCATCCGACCGCTGAGTACCTACATAGCTGAAGCGACCCTGTAATATCTACTCTGGTTATAAACTCAGATGATATACCAAAGAGCCATCTGGCCAGGGTTACAGCGGAACAGTTTTAGTAACCAAAGTCATTTACCATCTGTTCTGGGTCTCTTGACTCTCCAACCCTGGCGTGACAAGGGGCGCCAAGACTTTGAGCCTAGAATATCCGAATTTCCAAGGTGAACGTACAGAATTGTGCAACATTAGCTGAAACTACAAAAAGGAGGATAAGTTACAGTTGCAGGAGTCAGGTATGAGACTTCTACATGTTATTCACTAGCGAAGAGCCAGGCCCGAGAGAGACTAATAATCCTCTTTTGGAAACAGAAACGTGGCGCGCTTTTCATCATGGTTGTGGATTAGCTAGAACACCAGGGGTAACCGATAGATACTCGAAGTGAAAGGGACTAGCTGGAAAAATGAATCAGAAATATCACCCCAATATCTTACCGATTAATTTTGCCCTGGCGCCGATGAGACTTCCGTTGAGAGCCCGAGCCACACTTTTCACCTAGGGGAAAGATCGTCGGGCTGGTCCGTCTGTGCGAAATATCATATGGCTCGGACTGAATCCACCCGGGTCCCGCTCCAGCGGCTGTTGGGTTGGGCCTTGTTCGACATAGACCGTTTTCTTCCTTTCTCATGCACTCCCAACACTCATCTCTACCTGAGTGATTGTCTGTAACGGGACTTTCCCCTGCAAAGAAATTGTGGGTGGAAATGGCAGGGACGGCATCTTTCGGGCCGATTTAATCAGAATCGGCCATCACCTCTCTTGGCGGCTGAGTTAGGACTAACTCAGCTTTAAACTTTGGCTCGCATAGAATGATATATTTAGGAAAACCTACTTGGATGGTAGCCGAGATTCATAGCCCTTCTGCTATCTAAAACACATGGTAAGGAGGTATTTTGTATGGTGGCTGTGGGTTTGGGACGTTTGCTTGTCGAAACGCTAGCAAAGCCTTGTCTATAGCGGTTTATGGATCTCCGTCTACTACCAGACCGGGCGTGCCGTTGATAATGAATTTCTCCCGATGTAAGTATTGATTGATAGCTTTCATGGGTTCATTATATGATGAGTTATGGGCAATGAGAGGAAGATTATTATCACCCAGCAAACCTATATAATAAGAGAGAGTGGGAGTTGTGTTATGAGTTAAATAGGGCTGGCTAATTTAAGATTAATTCGGAAAGAGATACGATATTTCAGTTTACAATTGACTCCAAGACCACACTAAGACACGTACATCTTATCTACATATGGGCCGGAGAGGCCCTTTCCAGCACTAGAGAAACGATTATGCATAGAAACGCACAAGACTTGAATATTCAAATCTGTCTTTAAACGTTTCTTGAGCCAAACAAAGCTCATGACACAATATTTTGAGAGGTGGAGTCGCGGGTTCGGCCCGCACCCCTGAAACTTGATGTGCTATGGTCAACTTCAAGAACATCCGAAACCAGTCGCACCAGAGTGTGCTGTAAGTGATTCAGAGTGTATCAAGTTCTCTCAAGTGTTGAAATGATACTTATCTCTTAATATCCTTCCGCTCTTTGCCCTACCACCATCAGTTTTCTATCAGTGAGCTTGCCTGTTTGGGGTGTTCATCTCCTTCATTTGTTTTTTACCTTGTGTTTTGTTTGTTTGTAAGTATAAGAGCCAGCGGTTCTTCTTGCTTATTTTATCTATATCTTTTGACCTGTTGGTAGCAGATAGCACGAGCAGGCTCTCCGCAGGTTAAGAGAGACAAACTAAAGAAGATACAATTTGGAGATTATGCGAGACTGCCTGTTAAGATTACAGCGAATAGGTCTAGAAGCGCAACCCCCCCAATGGCCTTTCAAGATAGAAGCTTACACTGAGCGATTGCTGAAGAGCACATGGTCTGACCAAGGTCAGAGTGATGCGGTTGTTGTCTGGATTTTACTATTTTTTTTAGTCGCGTTCATCATAATGGAAGTGATTGCAGTGCGGAGCTTGTACGTTCTCCTGTCGAATTGACAACATTCCCTCGCATCACTCAAGTCTGATCGATTCGCAGGTTCGCCTCAGTTCGCATTCGTGCAGGCCACGTACCAGTTGACCACGACAATAATGAGACCGCGCTATCGAAATCAACTCATGAAAAGTTATCATACATTGATTTGTCATTTTTGAGCTTTGGAAAAGTAGGTAGAGATGAAGAAATGGGATCTTTCGACTTAAGCTCCGAGCTTTGCAACTCGCCACTTTTACAAGCACATCCATATGATCCACTCTCTCTATCCGCTTTGCCTAGATGAGTCTTGAATGCGTCCCTTTTTAGATTCGGTACTTGGAAAACTGATTGAGGCATATGGTTGTGGATTGTGGGAAAAGCTCACTTTTATTAGCTCAGAATTATACTCCGATACACTGCAAAGAGAATCAAGGGACCATGATGATCCAAATAGAAGGCTCAATCGGTTACCTGCTATTATATTATGTCCAACGTATTAGTTCAGTTTAGAGCCGGTTAGTAAGAATTAGCGCGATAATCGCCATCAATATTCCACTGTGTGGCATACAAGCTCTTTATTTGATTATGTGATCGTGTATGTGAAATGTAGATAGCTGTAATTTTATCAATGGAAACCCTAGGTTGCTTTGAATTGATTAAAAACTTTGAGGTACTAGATGGAATATTTCAGATAGCAACCTTGTGCTGCTCCTCTTAGTTTTGTGTTATGATCCAATGGTAATTTCCAGATTTCCACAGGTCACGAGAGGATAGACAATGAGAAATCTTAGAAACAAGGGTTCAGTATATGCGGGATTTATGATAATTGGGGACAAGATGATTCCCCTGGTCATTATGTGAAGAGGCGAGTGCGAATCGTATTTCCTTCCCCTGCGACCATCGTCTGCTTATTTTGGGTCAGTTGATAAATTTAGGTTAAACGTGGATCTGATTCTATTCCTGGAGCTCCCATGCTGAATTCAATGGAAGTAGTTGCAAAAGTTGAAAAGAAGTTCTTCCCTATTTGCCCCTTATATTCTCATCAAGACTGTAGACGACGCGTGGTTTTCTCGCAATTGGCATAGTTAGGACTCGCACGTGATGTAATCTGAACGGTTAAGACGTTGTTCGTGCTGGTCCACAATAGCCTCGCCCAACCCTTGAACGGTTTTTGTCTATTGCTATATTTATTCATGTAATTCATATGCACATCCTGGCGCTAACTCTTCAAGGGTAACCCTCCAGCTGTGATAGGATCGAGGCACGTGATCTTTAAAAATATATGAGCAGCTTTGCTTCAATTCCCCGTAAAATGAAGTCAAATGACGGAAGCGGGGTGCCAAGATCCAGTACATTGTGTGCCTAGATGCCAAAGTCGAACCCTTCTCGAGACCTTAGTCATCTACCTTCTGCAGCCGCGCCTGACACGAGTCCTCTGCCCACCCATGTAATTCAGGGCCATGATCCCTACATTTCCCCTCCGCTCCTCCTCTCCCTCGAGTAATCAATATCAGTCAGTCAATCAATTAACAGTAAATCTCTTCGACTTTAATTACTATGTCATCTATTTATTATAAGCTACTGCCTCTGTGCCTTCAAGATCGAGCCTCTATCATAATTCTTCACCTTCTTTATTTGACGACGATATCTTTCCACCAGCTTAAAAACTATGACTGCGTGTCTCTAGAACTCATTTACGATCCTTCAAAACTCTGTCTGGTGCTTATCTCACCTCGTTACATTTCTTTAATAACCCCTCTGCATTACTCCAAAAGGAGGCTCCGTGGTGTTCACACTCAGCCGTCCATCGTTGTCTAGAAAAAAGCATCACAACAAACAATCAATTGAATCTCACTGTGAAGAGTGTTTGCCACTTAAACCCCTCGAAAAAGCTCATCCACTTAAAAAAATCTAATAAAAAGTCTATTTATGGCTCCGAAGCCCTCTCAACCGCCTAATTTATCATCGGCTTCAGGATCACCTAATCTTGCCTCAAAAAGAAATCGAGCATCGCGGTCAGATGATGAAGAGATTAATTCCACATCCCGCAAGCAGCATAGGAGGGTTTCCAAAGCATGTGAACGCTGCCGCCTGAAGAAGACCAAGGTTTGTAGCTCTAATGCCTTGAAGACTCCGACACTAATGAGACTCAAAATTAGTGTAATGGGGAAATGCCATGTCAACGGTGTACAGATGACGGAGTTGCCTGTTGTGAAGGAGCTCGAAAGAAAAGTGGATCTAAAACTGTTGCCGAGAGGTAGGTTCTCTTTTCACCATTACTTACCCTAAATAACGTGTAAAAGCTGTGTTGAACTACTCGAATACCAGCAAACTAAGCTTATCGCTGGTCATCTTAAAATGTATCAAATTATGGTGGAAACCGGAACCTGGTCTTTCGGGGAAGTGAGAAGAAATGGTCGAGGTGTTCCCGTTGTCCACGATATTCTTGAAAAATTAGGAGTCATGCGATGTAGTAAAGATCTTCCTAACGGTTTCCCCGAAAGTCCCGACGAAAATCGGGCACTTCGAGGACAACTTGAGGCAACTCGAGATCAGAAAAAGCACCGAGAGGAGCACGAATTCCGCAAGAGATCACACCTTGAACAGGCCCCACCTTCATTGGTACACACAGACCGTGAGAGTAGTGTAGACAGTAGTCGTTCTAGTTTCAGCGGAACAACTAAAAATTCCATCGAATTGGAACACAAGTATACGCCTCCCGCTTTAATAGTAAATTCACTTTCTAATTTCGAGCAACAAAACGAACCACTACCTCCGAATAAATGCACTTCGTTCAAATATTCAGTAAATCCTGCTGATAGTAAGAATCTATCTGCTATGACTCTCCCTAGTTCGACCAACGTTACTTTAGCAAGCGACATTTGTGGTAATACTCCAATGACAGATAGGCTCAAGAATATGCCAAGTTATCATCAATGGAATCGAATAGGACTAAATTCATCAACTGAACCTGCACCTACTCAATTCATGACACAGGTTACAGCACCATTTAGTGATATCCATGTATACAACGCCATGAATCATCAAAACACATCCTTTAATGCGTTACCGATGCTAGGTTCTGAATTTCTTCAACCAATAAATATTAATATGGAAATGGTTCCAACAGTTATGAAATATTCATTCGACCCATACATGGGCTAACGAAAACGCAATGTCGATTTGAAGGAATTAGGACTCAGCTATCATTAAATTCGGGCGTTTGGGAGCTGGAATTGAGCGGAAAGGTATGGACTCCATCTAGTTATCTAGACAGGGAGAGGTGCTTTTGAAATTTAATGAACTTACAACACTCCAGGCTGGGTTGGACTTAAATAATAGGGTTATGTCAAGGATAATGTGTAACTTAGCGAACTTTGGAATTTTGGGCAAATTTTTATCGTAATAGAATTTTTAATTTATCCATCATAAAGTAAAGTATTCTAAGTTGTAAGTCAAGTAGCCTCCTAGTAAGCATATCCAGTAAATAGGTGGCGATATCTTTATTAAAACAAAAAGATTTTATTTTGGCTGCGAAAACGATTATTTATATTTCATTAATTCCTTTTATTGTCCTTTCTGAGTCTATGACTATGTAGGACATGCAGGTCCTCTCTGCCTACAGGACAAGGATACCTATACCAGCAGTATATCCCCTCCTATGCCTCCCATACAGCTCCCCTCTAACAGTACCACCCCTCACAAGTCCTCATTCGATCATACACTTAGAGGAGCCCTTTGCCCTTCATGATCTCCCCTCTCCAGCCAACGAAACAATGGCCATTTGCGGGTGTATGGCAGCCGGGAAAAATCGCAAAAACCACTGGATGCGGGGCTCTTCTGATACCGGTATTAGGACCAAATCCGAAGACACAGTGATCCTTCTGAAGCGTTCGGAGAGACGGGCCAGCTGAGCGCTGCAGACTTGTGGGTACCTCGAAGAATTCACCCTCTGCCTTTCTAGCCTCCTTCCAACTCCTTAGTGAAGGTCGTACTGAAATGTCAGAAAAGTCTTGACAGAGCGTGTTTGCTGTACGGTAGCTTAGCCCAACTTCTTTTGTGCCGTCCAGGGCGCTGGGGAATACCGTTGACTCATAGACAAAAGAAACCCTCCTGGTTAATTAGCCGAAATCTCGGTCTTGTCGCCCACAACTGTTCGAGAGTTGAAAACCACTCGAGAATATCAATCTCAGCATGGTATTCAGAGGCCTGTTCCCCCTCTCGCTCCACATCCCAGCCGCCTGTCCTTCCTCAAGATGTATGACCCCTTTAGAGCAAAAGTCTCACATAAACCATGACCCGAGCTTTGTATATTATGACTGTATTTCCTCTTTGCGGGTAGAGGTAGCGTCATAAACATGTAGCAAGAGATGGCTGGAAATTAATGGAGCAAGTTCCTGTTTGCAACTGGAGCAACTTCTTGATTGGTCGTTGAGGCAAGATGATATGTGGTTAGAGAGAGGTTGAGGACTCAGAAGATAATGGTGAGTGCGGCATGATTGAGAGGTCGTCAAATGGAGATGTGCATGTATTTGCTTTCGACTTCGACTCTACATGGTTGTCCCAGATATGCAGTGCATACTGAACGATAACACAGGCACCGCTGGAAGGTGAAGAATTCATCTTTGCCGGCTCTCCAGAACTTATTTGGGAGATCGGCCAAGACGATGTACCACCGCACCATCCAGCCATGGCGGTGTCTTTAGTGTCGCCCGTATTCTCGCAATCGATGCCTCGGCAAGCACAGGGTTCACTTGGTAAAACTTCTTGCCAAAATTCAAAATTTCCCGCCCGTCGCGATTGGATCCACCCTCTGAATTATCTTGTAAGCTTATCCTGATCTCTTCCAAATCCATTCCAATTAACTGTCTCCCTGATTTGTGCGCCACGCTTTGCTCCCCCCCCCGCGGGTATTGTCATTGGAATGAGGATGTACTCGGTCGTACTTGCAAACTTGACGAAACTTAGATAGGAGTTGCTCACGTTGGGAGTGAAAAATTGACGTGGTTGAGTATTTTGAATCATTACCTCGTGGGCCAACTTGTTCGGTTTGCAAAATTTGATAGAACTTAGCTTTCGGAAAATATTTCACTCCCAGGTTCGTAGAGGAGACCGCGTACAGGTGTTCACTCTTGCCTTCCAGTGACCAGGCCTCGCCTGGCTGAAGCTGTTGGGTTTTGAGACTTTTTCCCGTGCACGCAGTTTCCATTGCTACCATTTTTTGTTTTTGGGCAGAAGGTTCCATGGAAAAGATGTTTGAATTCCATGGGTAAATACTGAGCTGAATGGCTATTCATCACCGGCAATAAATCACTGATCTTTCACGTAACAAAAGAGGCAAGGAGCACTGTACAAGGTGTGGCCCGGGTCAGAGGGAAGCCCATTGTGCTAAATAGTCTATGACTTAAGTAGGAAAATAAACAAAACACAAATAACGTTAGAAAGACGGTCGGACCTTGCAGTATTTCATCAGCAATCTCTCATCTAGAATGAGATAAGTATCGTATCCAACAATCATCTACCCAAATACCATCTCGGACTATGTTCGTTGCATCACTCCACGTAAGAACTGCCCTACCACCAACTTGAAGAATATACTAATATTATAGAAAAAAATTGGCAACAAAGTATCGGCAGAAAACTCTATTTTTGTTAAGCGACAGGTAATCGCACAACTTACGATGTCATGCACTTCTGACGTCGAGATTTTCCAGGCTTTGTTCGCCGGCGTGGCCTAGCTAGATATCGATTCGTCTTCATTTAAGACCGCTGAGCTCCTTCCTGGAAGGCCTAGGGGTCAGAATCGAACCCCAGAATTCTTGAGTTGGTCCATCCTAGCTCCGGTCCCCACAAACTTTATTCAGGGTAAAATGCGACAAAGCACAAGAAGGAGACTCAGTCTACATTCACCTAGAGCTAGTCGAGCCCTGCATCCGACGCCAGGCTTGGCTCTCACTAATCAACCTGGACACAGAGACTATAGATGGTCAATTAACAGCATTATTCTCCACCTCGCCACTTGCACCCGCGCCTGCTGACCTTTATCGACGTCCATTCACATTATATCCCATGCATGAGGGTAAAATGAAAAATTTTGTACAAATTAGTAATACTAATGTAACCTCCGCTCACCAATGGAAAATCCAAAGGGATCATTCTGTAATTATGGCTCCTAGAGTCTTTCTAGTGAGAAAAGGTGACAGAAGTTAGTAAATTTAACTCAACCCCAAGAGGTGACACGTAACGTCAATAAGTCAGCCTGAGGAGTTCTTGCCCACTAATCCTACGCCTTTTTCGGACTATAGCTCGCTTTGTTTCCTTCTGCGCCCCACTTAGTTGGTTACCAATCACTCCCTTTCCATCACCTAGGTCTACTGACCCCTTCAAGAGGTCGATAGTGATATGAGAGTCAGTTCCGCTCAAACTAAAATTTTGAGCCATATTGGTCATCTGACTGTCGAGAACCTTTTGAATCGTCCTCTGAGCATTGAAGGCCTGATTTTTGCCTGCTTGCTGCAAGATATAGAGGGTGGCAATCCGGGCAAAGTCGAGGGTTGTTTCACTTCCGATAAAGCCTGAAAGGGCAGCCGATTTAGTGGGTGGTGGTGATGATGATGGCAAAGGAATTGTAGTTGAAGATGAAATTGATGGAAAAGTAGGAGAAAATGAAACAGAGGTAGTGGTAGAAGAAGATGAGGAGAAAGATGAAGATGGAGATTCTGTAGACACCAAAGTGCTTGTTGTAGAGGTTACCGACTGAGTTGTCTTAGATTCATTATTCAGCGGACTGGGAGTGACTGTAGTTAAAATGGTAATTGTAATAGTTGTAGTAGAGTCAGACATAGTTGTTATAGTTGCATAGCTAGATGGGATACCGAGCGCCATAGGGGGGGTATCGGAAGTCTCGTTTCTTTTCAAAAGCTGTGCATTTCCGGCACCGATTCTAGAATCTACTACTTGATCTACCCGCGTGCTTTTCCCATTAAATGTCACCAAAGAATTCTCGTTAGTACAACTCAAATCTGCGGCATTGAAATTAGCAAGAACTGAGCTCGCATTCAGGGGGATATTGAATTCGGGCCGTGCATCGATTATCAGACGTTCAATGGAGCTGCCTAGTGTGGAATTTTTACCAACGATCATGGTAGTGCTGCAGTCTATCGCCTCGGCTTTATTGCAGGTAACCCCAGTGAAACCGTTGGAGCATATACATGCACAGCTACCATCTCCAAGAAGATAAGGAATACCGCTATTTTGACACTGTGACTTTTCGGAGGTGGCGCAATTATCCAGAGTGATGAGAGTTTTAGCTGTAGGGTGTTGCTTGCTCCGCACAAAAAAGAAAACCAAAGCCAAAGTTATAGCCACGATTAGCGTGGCAAGCAAAATGAGGGCAATAAAAATTCCACGGGAAAACCCACAGTAAAGACGGCTCGGCGCTACATTTTTATTGTTATTTGATACACTATTAGCTCTCAAGTTTTCATCTCCAGCCGATATGCCTGATTTTGATAAGCCAGGTATAGGCTCGGGGGTGATTGTTATTTGACGGGAGGAGTGCGCAGAGCTCATATCCATTTGATCTATTCCACGTCAGCTGATTTTAATTATAACGCAAAATGGACTCACCCATTGATTCTGTCGTAAATTGTGTGCTGTTAAAGCTATCAAAGTCAATATTGCTACCTGGTCGCTTTCCTTGGTCAATCAAACTTTCCAGCTTTTTTGCGCGAAGAATAAGGTCTGTCAGACTAGTGAGGCTACCTCGTGCTTCCGCTGCACTGATAGCATTCATATCAAGTCGTGCTGGTCGGTGCATCGCAGAAACTCGGCTAAACAACTCGCTTTTTCTCAAATTTGCAGCCTGAATAGACATCCGATTTATCTCGTTATCTTGTCCTGATGGGTCGTATCCAGTCTCCAAGGTTAAGCGTGACTGGGGATAATCATAAAATGAGCAGATAGCACGTGATGTTTTATGGGTTAGTGTCGAAGTTTTTTCTTCTATTTGAGATGTATTATTTGATAAGTCGTTAATACGGTCGTCGTCGGTCTCAGATGACTGTAGAGAGTTATCCCTTTCATAAGACTGAGTATTGTGAGTCGCTTTCCAGTAAGAATCATTATTGTCTCCTTCTGTACTCTCGTCTTTGTCGTTGGATTCAGAGGCATAATCTGTTGAATTCCATCCAATAGGTATAGCATCACCTGAGATATACGAGCTAACAGGAAATTTTCTAGAACGAGAAAAATCCTCGGGTAAGTCTGAAATGGATGATTGTTGTGTATAAATTGAGTAAGTGGGTTTTCTCGGATTTGGAGGCATACCGAGGCCAGTCGCGCGTGGGACGGGGAAATCTGGTATAGAGTCGGAGTATGATGTGTGATAAGACACAGTCATATCTAGGGAGTTTATGGAAGGACTAACAAGCTCTGCTTTCTCTGAGATCCAACTCTGTAATGGTTTCTGAATTGAAGGCGTGAGCTCCTGAAAATTCGTAGGATCTAGCGTTGGAGCCACATAGCTTTGGCGAAGTGGTCTTTGAGGGGATGTTGTCTTCACTTCAAAGGAAACAGTCGGTAGCTCTTGAGATGGGTCGAATGAGCTCTGGGAAAGTAATTTCGGCCTGGAAATTGCTGCTCCAATTCCGCCTGGCTCGTTTCTCAAATCTGCAAGCCCTGCTGGCAATCGTGGTTTCGCTCTACTTTTGGCACTAGTCTCGGTATAGACGTTACCTTCCAATAATATTTCAGACGGTGGAGTGTTGCGTCCCATGATCTGTTTTGCTCTCGTAGCTAGGGTACCTCCAGCAGACCTGGTTGACGACTGCCATGGCAGATCGCTCATAGACGCTAGACGTCGATAGCTTCAGAGCGGGAGATTCGGGTGATATAAAGTCCAGCTCTATTTACCGTCAACCCTATCAAATACTACTTGTTCTAACCAAGCTCGCAGTTATGCATGAAGCTGTTGTTCATGAGAGATAATCTAGGCGTGTGTAGACCAATCGGTGTTAATTTTTCTTGTATTATTAAGTCAATTCTAGAATACGGCTACAAGGCTTCACAGAAACCCCAGTGTTGGCCAGATTATAAGAAACTTTGAAGAATTTGAATTCTCCAGCTAGGATCCACGGGATAAAGCTGAGTTGTTAGAAAAGAAGATCTGAACTGATGATAATAAAGTATAGTAGTGGCTCGGCTCTGTATGTTCCAATCTCAGGGGAAGGGAGCCCAGTGGCATCCAGTGCTGAGAGCTTGCGTTGAACGAATGTATTGATGACAATTAGAAAAAGGAAATAGAGACCAGAAGAGGAGTCTAGGTCAGTGGGATGGCAGTTAGGCCTCGCCGCGTCAACCACGCGGGAAGAGGAGGGACGAAACCAAAGGGTGGGAGTATTTGAAACCTCTGGCGCAGCACATTTAGGAACCAACCCATTGCCGGCATTATCATGTCAATCCAGCGGATTTCAAGTCGAACTGATGATCTGGGTGACCCCGGAAGTATGAATTAGATTCAGTAGGTATGAGCTGCATAAATGCTTCATTTCTCTCTGAAAACCTGTATTCGTTGGCTTGGTAAAATTGTGATGTTGATGATATTGGCCGCAGATGCTGCCTTATCGCTCGCTTGCGCATCCAAAACGTAACAATCATGTGCAATTTACTCGACGCGCATGCTAGTCCTGAAACTTCCATGGCTACTGGGTCTAGTGACGTTGGGCGGCGTGGGTATCTTAGAAGCTCATTCTTGACTCGAACTGATTCAATCTTCTATTCAAAGACGATAACGGTCTTCCTGCTCCCATGGCTGATACACAACTACATCATGACAATAGCTAGACCCACAATAACTACGAAACCCAACAAGGAAGAATACAGCATCGTTCAGAGCCAGGCCAACTGCGTCAGTAACCATCATACATAAATAAATTACCTACACTTGTGGACAAGATGTTGCTGTGGCTTTCACTACCATCGACAATTCTACATTCAAGAATTAGCTGCGCTGAAAACATGAAAATCATTCACATCTTATCGGAGACTCATCACACGAGCGATAGATATGAGCTGCTTCAGCATCACACAGCCTGAATTAATGGCACATATGTTGTATAATTGACACAGCCTTGTATGGGAAGAGGCCTACTTGAACCTTATCCATGTACTTAAACGAAAGTAATCTGAAAAATTACCACACATCTCGTCATCGGATCGAGTAAATCTGAAATGTGTTGTGTCGTCTTGACGTCGTACCGTGACTTATCAGTGTCTCGTACTCAATCCAAACGCGAGAATAGATACTTTTCAGTGCGAAAGCGACAGATATAGTAAGTCAGCGGCATTCCGTGTCTACTTACAAATCGGGTATAAAGAATTGTGATTGTAATCCCTTGATCAGCTATTAGAAGTGATCTTATTGATCATCCCTGCTCAAAAGGTTTGTTTCATTTCCATGGATTTTCGGGATGCACGGACCAGTCTCAGTAGGTTCTGGGTATCCTAGTCATCTGACCATTTCGAGACATGAGATGGCCAGTTTGAATCGTGCGAAGCTTGATCACGAAGAAGAACATCGATGATACAGATTAAGCCACTGGAACTTTAGGGCAATCAAATTTAATCAGAATGTATAATTCGATAACAACCTATGGCATCAGAAGCCGCATAAGTCTCGACATATAGCTCTATCAATTATTTTTGGCGAATTTAACCTGCTGTATGATATGGTCGTTGATTAAAGAATCAAATCTTGTGTTAAAAGATCGGTAGTGAAGTTGGAAGAATGTCGTGTCATTCTAGATAAAACCCAAGGTATGAGGAAATTGGTACGACTTAATAAGAACGAAAGAGAGCCATACACATACCTACATGATGATGATGGTTTTATTTGAATATTAAGACATCAGGGTGAAGTCCTACACTCGGAACAGGTAGATGTCTCCCTATTTCCTGCCGCCTAAAATATGATTGCCGTTTTTGTGAGAAGATTTACGATATTTTGTAATGCAACTGAATCCGAGATAATGATAGGTCATTCATAGCCATCCTATCCATGTAATATAGATATTCATGTCTCAGGTAGTGTTTATATTGCTTTCATTCCCTTCAGACCTCTGTCCAAAAAAGATATTTCTACATATTTTTACCCAAGTACAAATAAAAAAGTAGCAATAAAACAGTGTCTACTTTGAGGTCAAGGAAATTTTTCACAGAAAGTCGATCGGCTCTGCACCCAAACTTCTCGTTATTTAAATCTAAAGGACTTACAAACTAGAGAGGTTCAAGTCATAAGACTATCCACTCTTCATCGAAATGTTTTGCTACAACTCTTAGATGATAGAACTCCGTTAGCTCTCACTGGCCAGCAAATATTTATCTCGCCATAGATTTTCCGCATAGTTGTCGAGCCCTTTGCTACAACTCAAAATTTTTGGATTGCTTCGTGTATCTACGAATCCAGCTTTAGATGGATTGTTCAATAGCTTTGTTGCCTGCAGAAAATCTAACATAACTTTTACCACTCAATGATCAAATCTTAACGACCTGACCGTAATATCGAGCTAAAAATATTGGAGTCTTCACATTCATGCGGTGCAGATGCAAACATCGAATACGTTCGCATATCTAAGTTAGCCAAGAAGAACCGCAGTCCTCAACTTTAGAATCTCTGTTCATCCATGCGAGTACCGGTCGGCTTCATCTCCTCACCCGTTTTCTTAGAACCCCTTTAACGAAAGACTCTTATGGTTATATCAGATAGGCAAATCAAGAGTTTCATAGCGTTAAAAATTATATTTTATAAGAGAAAGTTGGCATAAGTAATCAAGTGCTAGTGAGGCCCTCTTGAGACAGTAGGTCAGACTCATACATGGATTATTCTGGATATGAGTGCAGCTCCTCACCGAGAACAATTAAGAGAGGAGCGGTCAAGATTTTTCTGTTGAGCTTTTTCCCTATTGATTTTCCATGAAGCTTTCCCTTGACCCATGAACTTAGGGACATGGGGAATACGGACCTACTCGTCAAATCCGATGTAGCTAGCTGGACCGAAGACAAGTATTGGGAAAGGCCAGGCACTTATTCGGTGCTGCTAAAGCTTGCAGGATTGTAAATCTAGATACTCCTTGGACGTCCTATACCCCTACGGATGGCTGGCCTAGTCCACATCAGGTGATAAATAATACACGCACATATATATAAATTGAAGTTTCGGTCAGGCTCTAGTAAGTTGAAACTGCTATTAGATGGTAAATTCCACAGCTGCGTACAAATTTACGACAAATGGCCGCAACTTTGGCGGCACACATCGATCGGACAGCCGAGCCGGCTCAGCGATAAGGGAGCAATTGATCATTATCCAATAGGCCTGGCAATAAGGACTTGCAACAGTGGCCCGAGAGAAGGCTGTAGCAATGACTTCTCAAGCAGAAAGTCGACCTGCATCAAAAACGCAATGATATGCGGGGATATTGGCTTTGAAGCCTTGAGCAACGAGGTCTTGTTTGGTGTTTCTTGCAATAATTTAGTTAATGACTATCAAGTATATTAAATTTCTCTCTGAACTAGACCACAATTTTTGCATTGCCCATATTTCCTTTTGTTGGCAAAATAGATCTTTGATATTATGCCCGTAATAGATAGCAATTTAGCTCATTCATTACCCATAGGATTTAGCCACTTTTTCTACGGAACCCTTGGATCCCGAGGAACAAGTCTTAGGAGCGAAGAGCACTTTGATCAAGTCAGTGACAGTTTCAAATAATTTTGGAAGTGGAGACCGACGACATTGGAATAAACTTGTAAGCTCATCTTCTACTTTTAGCAGATATTGAAGCATTCAACTGGAAAATATTACGAGAATGATAATGTGCGAGAAATTGTATGTGTCCGGCTCTCTGAGAGGAGTGGTCTTACGAAATTGGTGTATCGATGATCACTTCTCTCTTTACTCTGCTTCAAGTTTGTTGGCGATCTGTGTGGTGCGAATTATCTGGACAGATGGCAAAGACTGAACTTATTTTAGCTGGATCCTCTGCGGACAGTGGTATAAAATATTCTCCTAGGCCTGAGATGAGCCAAGTTTCGCAATACCGAAATAGTTGGCCAACGAGGCATATATCTTCCACTTCCAGCGAGATCGGTTCCCATCAATAGCGCAAAGGAAATATCTGGAATGTTGAAAGCATCAAATCAAATCGATTCCAATCGAAGCGTCACGAAGTTTAGAGTTACGACCTAGTAAATCCTGGTTTCAATATCCATATTTCTCGTCGGCCTAGTGTCTAGCGTTAGCCATCTACACACATATGTTCACGAGAATGCGGAGATTCGCATGAAGACAAAATTGCTGCGCAAAGATCTAAACAGGACGTATTTTGGGATGGACGTGAGAAAAATCATTACGAATTCACAAGATGACACTGAAGATAGAAACAAAGTTGAAAGGGACTAAATATCAATCCTTCCCAGACTATGTGATCAGCCACCTTTGCCTCTGAAGTTATCGAATACAGCAACGAACCTTGGGCCAGATTATCAGGAGATTGTATTCTATAATTCGGTGATTCAACACAGTAGCGAAATAAACTATCAATGAATATTTATTCGTGACGGGCACAAGCCTAGCACTCGTAGAGCATGACACGGAGAAGGCTAGTCCTTCCCCTGCGACCATATACGACAATAACCAAGTTTGACATTTAACCCATGAAGTGAGTGCATTTACTGATACCACTCGAGACCTTTGTGCTAGGGACTTTCACGCTTTCCTCAACCATTGTTATCTACCAAAGTGAAAACTGGAAAAACCTTTGGCTACCCTAACATACCTTTATCATCTTGTATATAGCCGCCGCGCGAGATATAGCCTCACAGTCCTCACTTTCTTGAGTGAGGGAGGTGTCCCGGCTACACAGACTTTAATACTGGGATATGGCGACCAGGAGGCGGACTACAACACCTTCCATCGTTGCTTGTTTTTAGAGTGTCATTTACACTATCCGAAATCGTTGCCTCTGCCCCCACAGACACTCTTAAGTCGAAAACACTCGAAAAATGTAAGTCCCAACATGCACATTTGTGACCTCATTCTTCGTTCGTCCCACGTCCCAGCTGCCTGTCCTCCCTCAAGATATGAAGCCCCATTAGAGCAACGGTCCCCCATAGACCAAGACCCGAGCTTTGTAGATTAAGACTTAATTTCCTACTCGCGGGTATATAAAGCGTCATAATCTTGTAGTGAAGATGGTCGGTTTTCGAAGAGGCAAATTCCCGATTGCAATTGGAGTAACGCTTTTATCATCGTGAAGGCGAGGTGGTGTAGGAAGATTTAGGTAGAGGACTCGCGGGAGAATGATAGATCCGACATTTGTCGAGAAGTCGTCGATTTTAGATATGCTCGAGGTTGCTTTCGACTTCGATTCGGATGAGATTCTTCTTGGCTATCCCAGATATATAGAGTATATTGATCGATTACACCGGCACCACTGGAAGATGAAGAATTCGTCTTTGCTGGCGAAATAAACTATGAATTGGCTACCAGTCAATTCTGGAGACCGAAATTCGACCATACATTTTGCTCTAAACTTCGTGGCCAAAAGTAGAGTCGGAACCGAGTTTTCCTGCTGGAGTAAATCTGAATTTAATTTCATTCATTCAAGCAGCTTATGGGCTAGAGTGGATTCCTGCAGCTATACTTGTCGTAAAGGCAGTAAAAGGCCCCCCTCTAATCTTGTCTGTCTCAAATCTAGCGAGACTTTTTTATTTCACTGCAGCCTCGATGTCTCCGGCAAGTTGAATGTCCTCAGCAAAATCTTCTGTTGATATCAAATTTGTAACTCTCTCAATATCATCGTGGCTTCAAATGACCTGTCTTTTTCCAGTTGAAGCACATCCCCCTTTTTCCTTACCCATCGAAGACTCGACAAGGCCTTATGTTCCATATTTTGTTGCTAGACTCACACTTATATATTTGATTATTGACTCCGGGGACTCTCTATGGTTACGAGTGAAATTTGAGCTAGATGTACTCGCTTACAGGCTGAACATGAAAACTACTTTATGCCCGGCAAAGGCTTTGATTGATTCTTGAAGGAGAATATATATGGTTTATTTCTTTTTTCCATACATTCCTATCGATTGTTAGATTTGCAGCTTTAGCTAGGTAGTATTAATAGTAGGTACTTATGACTGACATAATTTACAAAATTAGCTTTCGGGAAGCACATAGGAAGCTTTAGTGCTTAATTTATTACCTTGATTTATAAGAAGTCATGACTCATGAGGATGCGTATACACAAAGTCAGTTCAAGGATCAGACGAGAATTAAACCCAATGATTGTCTCGATTATATGGAACGAAAGAGATAGCTTATCTAGGTGATGGGGGTTACAATTTATACTAGGGTTCTCTTTTATTATACTGCTACTAGGTTCCTAGATAATATCAAAATTAATAGTAATGGCAGCCGATTCAATCATCCTCTACATTAATTAAATGTTTTGATTGACATTAAATGAATTTATCGACGCTGATGCGTATGAGTTGACGAAGTCAGGGATTAACGACGGGTTAAGGCCTGTGCTACAAGTCTAATAGAGGGTACGAAAACTCAACTTTTAGCTGCGTCTCCCTGTGAACTTCTGACCTTGACGGTAGAGTTTGCAGAGCTGAGATTGAGTCTCATCTTTTCGATATTGAGCTCCATCATCTCCATCAGTCTAAGTTGCGCTTTCAGTAACCACTGCGAAGATAATTTACCTGATCCGGCCAGGGCCCACTCGTTCTCAAGGTCCAGTAGGAGGTTGATGGTTGTCGCTTTACCCAGCGCATCAGTAAACAAACAACAAACCCAAGAACTTGAAGACGATGATAATGGCGCTTTTTTTAATTTTTTTTTATATCATATTGTATTCAGCTATCTAGCTATGACAATTAATGACGCTTGAGAAGTGGATAAATTTTGCGATACCATACTTTACAACTGCAGTCAAAAAAGCTTTCATCAAATTTCGATGCACAATTTCATGCGATAGACGAGCTGTAAGACCATAAAGTAAATTATAGACTCCTCATCCTTGTGGGATAGCAGATGTTGACTCAGCGGCAATATTCATTCTCTCACTTCTATTTTGTTAGCCTGGAGGGTCTTGTTGAACAAGTTACACGAAAATTCCATGTTATTTAAAACTTGTAGATGCTAGCACAGGCCCCTTTCAGATGATCCATCCTTACCAAGACTTCACTGACATTATATCACGGCCCGCGGCTTGTCCTACGACGCCGATCCTGGAACATTATGCGACAATAGGAAGTAAGACGATCTCAAGTCAAAATAGGTTTACTGTGCTCGGTCGGACAGCCTCTCAGAATGCTTCAAAAGGTCTCCTAGGTCTCAGGATTGTGTCCTGATCTTGGTAGTATGATATCCCCACAATCAGTAGTTCTAGGGCTTTCCCCTACTCTTAAGCACTGACAAATTCTTTTAGGCTTGTCCTCCGGAGAAGGGAAACTAGTACGGAACAACGGCTCCACTAAGTTTATAGTTGAATGAGGATCTATTAGAGTATTTCCGCTGGCCTGAGGCCGTAAAGGAGGCTAAGGAGGTCATTCGAGACTCAAGACATAAATAACCGTGGACTGTGGACAATTAGAAGCTGCATATGTTAAGATAGTCATAGATTAGAATGGATAGGTAATGCATCATATACCAACAATTTTTCAAGTCATTTGCCGTGTATTCAGCTGTCTAGCCATGACACTAGGTCAATGCTATACTTACATGTTAGATTAGGGTGAATTTTCTCAACACCTGTCAGTAGTGTTCCCTACGAACCTCCAGCTCTCACTGTAGAGTCTGCAGAGCCGAGGTTGAGTAACAAAGTCCTCCCTTCAACGAGAATTCCCAATCGCTTTCGCCGTCTGTATCGTCTTCATCTCTCAACACATTCCCCCATCACCATTATCATGGAGATGCCATCCGATGAGTTTCCGCAGCGTACCCAGCAACCGGTACGGAGATAGTGGATTGGATCAAGTCGGCCTCGAATGTTACAAAGAAGGGAGATATAGATGAATATGCACACCTCATGCGGTCCAGTTGTCTCGGCATCGCCTGGCTGGGGCTGCAGGTTTTGTGATACTTTTTCCCGCGCACGCAGTTTCCATTGCTACCTTTTTTTGGGGTAGAAGATTCCATGGAAAAAGTGGTCAGATTCCACAGGCAAATACTGAGCTGAATGACTTCTTATCACGGGCAACATATCAATGATCTTTCAGGGAACATAAGAGGAAAGAAGCACCGTGCAAGGTATGACCTAGATCAGAGACGAGCTCTATGTGCTAGATAGTCTATGACTCAAGAAGTATAGAAACATACATCTCTGGATTTTATTCGCGAATATTACTGGGGAATGCTTGCTAACAAAAGCGTTCAACCATCCTCTGTGAGTACCCACCAAAGAAATGTTTCAAAACCTTTGATATACAAAAATGCCTTAGTCATCCATGTACACTGACACCACTAGAAAAATGGCTGTGTTCTGCTGGATTCAGACCAGTGGTAACCTGTCTCAAGTAGGATATGTGTCCAAGCTATCCAGAATCTATTTGGGATACCGGCCTAGATGATGTACCACCGCACAATCTAACCATGACGGTGTTTATAGAGTTGCCGGCACTCCTGAATTCGAAGTCTTCGCGCGCGCACAAAGCTCAATTTGTGAAAACTCCTTGCCAAAATTCAAAGTTTCACCACTTCTGAGATCATATCCACTATTTGCATCATGTCCAATTGTCGAGGTCTCTATCACGCCCATCACAAAAATCTGCCTCCAAGATTTGTGCACCACAACTTGTCTCCTACAGCGAGTATTCATATTCTTGTGGGCGTGTATGTGGAGGCTACTTGAGACTAGAGACTGATTTGACCAGAGGTATGATTATTGAGATGAAAGTGTACTAGGTCATACTTGCAGACTTGATGAGGCTTTGACCGAAATCGACTTTGCTGAGAGCGAGATATTGACTTGATTCGGATTATGGGATCATTACCTCGTGGGCTAACTTGCTCGGTTTTGCGAAATTTAGCTGACCTTGGTTCTAGGAAAATATTTCACAACCAGGTTCGCCGAGGAGACCGCGAACTGAGGTTCAATTTGTGCCCTCATCTGCACCGGAAATCGGACTTCGTAGCATGAAATAAGATAGAACAAGGCTGGCAGGCGGTCTCGCTTGGCCATCCATTTAGGCGAGGTTGGCTACAAGGCTGGCATATCTACTACTCCAATAGGTCATTCAACCCTCAGTGGCACATCTTGCGGACTCTCCTCATCTAATGGCCGTACCCGTTTCTCTATCGACCTCTGGGGCTCCAGATTCTGGGAATCCCTCGACCGTCTTCAACACTCTTCCATCTGAAGTTGTCCAGTGCTTAAAAAATGCCCGATTCGTGAGCTCCATCTCTATACCTTGGCATCCGCTGACTCCTGCATTCTCAGCTACACCTGGCTACTTGTACAGGTGTCTACCCTCATGTGTCACTCATGAATTACACATATCTCCCCTCTTCGCCATATAGCAGCTCTCCCATCATCATCATGACGACGAGTCCGTCTTCTAAAAAGACTTTAAACATGATAGAGAATCCTAACGTGTCACTTCTCGTACATGATTGGGTTTCACATCGTCCACCGACGACAAACCACCGGAACTCCGATCCGGCCTCTGGCTCTCCTCCTCCCGAAGCTACCCGTTCTTCGTTAGCAACTCTTCTTTTGAACCTAAATACCAGTGCAATGAGCTCAATATCCGCTACCATAAACGGTCGAGCAAGTTTGGTCGAGCGAGGAGCTGAAGAGGAGAAGTATTACCGCGAGGCTCACTTAGACAACCATAATTTTGTTGAAAGTGGCGTTGGGCAAGAATCAAACTCGTTATGGGGAAATGAGAGACCAGATGGTGGCCGCGAAACATACATCGAGCGCGATGAGGTGCGAGTAGTGTTGGTTAAGGTAACAGATGGAAGAGTCAGTGATTGGAAAGGACAGGTGCGGAATTGGAGCCTCCTTTATCCTGAGGCGGAGGTGTGATGCACTTTCAGTCAACTTATTGCTACCCACTGACAGATCTGCTGGCAAGATCCCGTGAATTCTATGAGACAGGGTATTAATTCTTTACAAAGCTGATAACTTTTCTGTGGAAAGCACAAGCACATGATTGTTGGGAACAACGCATTAAATATGATAGCAGATCACTTTCGGATGATTCGTCAAAGCCGTTGATATTTTAAACATGGCTTTATAGCCTTGTTATTACTCTATATCTCTGACATGAAGAAATTTTCTATTGGAAAACCGGAGACAACCTGAGTTTTCATGTAATGCATAGCAGACTGCATTTAAGTATAAAAATTTGAAGCCTAATTGAGATTCGTGGACTGCTCAAGATTCCCTCATATCCGGGGCCTCGGTGGACCATAAATAACTTTACACTGGTGCTAAAGCCCATAGACTTAATCAACTTGATGACCATGTAAATAGAGCCCAGCTGTGGTCTCAGCGGATTCCCCAGTCTTCTTTAAAGCAATAAAATCGCATGGATCTGATATTTTTAATCATCTTCTATTCATCCACTTTGATATGAAAAATCACATTTTTCATCAACAAAATTCAAATTGTATCAATCTTCTCTCCAGCTAAAATGCTAGTCTAGTATGCTTATTCATCTCAATTTTATCCGACCATCAGTCTTCTCGAATCAAAGTATCCAGCATAACTCTCTATTCCTTCACTGCATGGCCTCACTCACGAATCCATTTTTAGGGTTGCAAGTTTTATCAGGATGGAATTAAGTGAGGATGCTTCTTCTAGAATAAAATGATACAAGAGAAGTGCCATCATCGACAGTTTGCAAGAAAGAGGACAGAGAACTGGCTTCTGGTCGACAAAAGGAGGTCTCTCAGTAGCTCTACAATTATCATATGCTATTTGTTGAAACATGGACACCTTGGAAAGAATAACTGTGGTTACACTAAGAATGAAGTTCAATTTGCAGGCCGCGAATATGCACATAAATTTGAGATACATTTAATTTTATACAGCCTAAAGTGCTCAAATAGACAGAAGCAGATCTGACCCATTACTAGGCGCCGATGCATATGATGTGGAAATTATCGGCGCTCAAAAAGCCCTTGAACAAACGATAGATTTAGTTGAAGGTATACCTACTAAAGTCCTTCTAGATAACCAGGCACCTGTCCATACAGTTCGTAGCGGAAGATCTAACTCTTCTCGGGCTGCAGTGGACACATTGGTTACCATGCGTCAATAAAATCAATAAGTATCAATCCTGAGAGTCCTATAATATGGTGGAGCACCAGGGAATTAAGAAGTCAGCTTGGGAAGCATTAGATGAATTAAGACTAGCAGCTTCAAATACCCGAAAAAGTAAATTAACGTTTGCAGCAATGTGACGTCTGGTTAACTCGCATGGTCAAGAGCTGGTAGTAAAATAGTGGCAGAAGCACCGCCCAAAACGCTTCGAAGATCTTGAACTTTGCATGCGACGAAACGATCACAAAAGCTACCCCTGCTAAGACGGGCTTACCACCGATTAGTCGTAGTAGCAACTAGCTATGAGGATTTCGGCAACTATTATCGGCAGTTTTGCTACAGGAACGACAACCTGAGATACCCTTGCGGTCTGGAGAAGAGACCAAATGTCACGGTTCGAGTCTCGATGCGGGAGCAATCAGATATACGAATGTAGTTTATTATTTTCTCTGTGCCTATCTATACAAGTCCTACCTCAACTATTTATACACTTACTATACTATCTGGAATATTCTTCTCGCCTGTAACCAGTTTCTAGTATGTTCCCCTGAGGCTGGTTCGCATTCCTACTACTAGTTACTAGAAATTCCTAGTGAGGTCCCGATTGGTCTATTTATTTATCTTTATTTAACGTCTGGCGGATCACGCGTCAAGCGAGTAACCCTATTAAGTCCCTACTGAGACAAAAGACGCCCCGATTGGTCTATGAAAGAGTATTGAGTTTCGAACATATGTACAGCACGTGATTAGTATCATGTGACACTGAATAATTACCGGCTCACTAGCCGTTACACCAAAGTACTTTACAGGGTGTCAATCAGCATTGTGGCACTAGAAAATTGTGGGCAGAACGTACCACTAAGGTTTCTTGTGCACGTTTGTAAGAATAAGATGATAAATGTTGACTGTAAAATTCACGGATGTCTCGTGACTCTGACTACGATAATCTACATGTATGTAGAGCTTGATATTAAAGTTCTTGAGGTATTTGGAATGATAGAAGTGAACGTTAACCTATATTTCAATACTATATGAATCGTAAGATACTGGGGATTTCAGAATCAGAGACAAAAGATTAAGATCAGTGCGGTTTTTGGATTTTTACTGAACTTATATTTAGTTTAAAGTTATTAGGTTTTAATCTACATCTGTAAGCAGACTTATGCTTGCACAAGTCTGGATCCAGTCCAAAAGCGAAAGCACGATCTGCGTGCAGGCATGTCAGACTAGTAATGATGATCAGAGGCGTTTTTTTTTGGCATCAGATTTTAATCGAGTATACAACTATCTAGCTGTGACACAATATCAAAGAAAAGTACAGAAAAGATGACTCCATTTACAAGAGGAGCACTCTTGCCTCGGATTTCATTTGCAAGTACCACTGCGAAGCTATGGTAGCTTTTTCTTCACCCCAAGTCAGCCCTCATCCGTGAATACCCACCCAGGGGAACATCTCAAAAACCCTGAGTTATCCATCAACTTTTCTCCGCGCAAAATATGATCTGAGATGTCTCCTTCCCAAGTGGAGTAGGTGCCCAGGCTACTCAAACTATACCGAAGAACACCACCAGGAGGCGGACCACAACACCTTCCATCGTCGGCTTGTGTTTATAGTGTCAGCTGCACTCTCGCAAGCGAAGTCTTGGCCCGCACAAAGCTCAATTCGTAAAACTCCTTGCCAATATTCGAAATTTCACGCCCGTCAAGACTGTAACCCTCTTCTGCATCATCTTGTAAACTTATCCTGATCCCTCTCACGTCCATCCCAAAGAACTGTCTCCCAGATTTGTGCACCACGCTTTGCTTCCTCCGTCGGGTAGAAATATCGGCGTGGGCGTGTATTTGGTGGTCAACTGAGGCCAGAGAAAGTCGATGAGAGGTATGATCATTGGAATGAGGATGTACTAGGTCGTACTTGTAGACTTGATGAAGCTTAGTTGAGAATCGGACTCTTTAGGAGTGAAAGATTGACATGGAGTAATTTGAATTTTTACCTCGTGGGCCAACTTCTTTGATATTGCGAAATTTGACTGAACTTGGCTCTGGGAGAATATTTCACTCTCAGGTTTGTAGAGGACACCGCGTACAGGTGTTCAGTTTTGACCTCCTACCAGAGGCGTTAATAGGGTAGAATTAGATATTATAGTGCTACGATGGACTCGTAGCACGGAGAACATGAATCAATTCATTCTTGTATTCGCTTTCATCTTTTGACAATTCACGTGATATTCACACGAAGATCTCTCAAAGTTTTACAACATCTAATCATCTATCAATGTTCTACCTCGCTTACGTAGAAAGATTGTGTTCTGACTACGTGGTAGAATAACATTCCCACCAAGACCTCACCAAAGCTGGTAGCGGTCGAAGATGAGTAGTCTTCGTCTACTCCACACTGCGTGCAGTTCGGTCTGATATGTCTAGATTTCAACACTTGAGACTAGGTGTAAACTTGTATTTCGATAAACGTTTTAACTCCTTGAATACATGAAATTCCCTTTACTCCAGTTAATATAACGATCAATAATCCATGGCAAAGTCAACTATCAGAATACAGTCGGGGAAGAGTGGGGCGCTAAGCCGCCCAGATTGTGATAAACGAATGCGAGGGGTGCATTCTCGATGGGACCTTAATACCTGGCGGCTCGCTTGCCGTGAGACTTGGCGTTTCGCTCTATGGGTCCTGGGTCCTGTGACTTAGGGTCGCGCTTATTCTTGGACATAACACTTGTAGCGGGAAGAAGGGATTAGACAAGAAACAAAAATACTTCATTAAAAGTCTTACTTCTAGTAACAATTGTAATCAGTCATTAGACGACTCATTTTATATTAGATACGAGACTTGAAGCCACAGCTCGGACTCGGAGTTCAGGATCCTCACCGCAGCAGGATAAAGTGATGATTGGAGAGGACCGGCAATGATCTTGCATTTCTTGACAACAACCCGGTGTTTTAACGACGCTGGTACTTTACAGTGTAATATGAATCGCCACTCGGGGTTCTCTACATGGAAAATGGATTTTTTAGTCAAGTATATGGATGAGAGTTGGGTACAACAGGGCGTTATGTTGTCTAAATATCTTTCCTCTCTGCTTTTCTCCGGCCCAATAGGACATAGTCAAAGTCACCATGACTTCGCAGTGGTATTTGCGAGTGAGATACGAGGCATGAGTGCTCTATTGCTAAAATGAGTCATCCACTCTGTACTCTATCTCTGAGTAAGTGTCATGGCTAGATGGCTGCACAAGAAATTGAGACTTGGTGCAACAATGGGGCTTGATCATGTTGATTTGTGAGTCCTCAGGGATCATGTATCCGTATCACGCCTCTTGAGTGTAGGGCATATGCCTGATACAAATAGCATTTAAATCAAATCCGCAAAGCAAGATATCACTTTCCCACGAGAACTTTCTCACTGACTTGTATCCAAAACATGGGCCTCATGCAGACTGGAGTGTGAGGATTACAGGGTGGTACATCTTCAAGAAACCATAATCCCCCATAATACTAACGAATGATTCTCAAGTGAACAGAACAACCGCAGAATAAAAGAAAATTCCCTGGTGATGATCCGGAGCTTAGGGGAAAATACTCGTCAGCTTCCATTCCAGTCGAACCAGAATTATGAGAGTCAAAGACCTGCCGTGTCTCAAAGAAGTGCAGGCTGAAACTGCTTTGGTACATATATTTGTCGTTTATTGTCTAATTTGGTTTCTATTGAAAGGCTATGCTGAGCTGGAATGACGTACCGTTAGGATGAAGGTATGGAAGGAGGTAGCTATGGCTTTAAGAGAAGTAAAGTTCGTGAGTTATACTCCTAGGACTTGGATCAATGGACGAACTTGAGGATATTCCCTGGTATTCTCAAGTGTGTGAATAATATGGAGATTGTTTGAATTTCCTATTGTATGAATTGCTTGATTATCTACGTGACAGGACCTTCCTGTATATACATGAACAAGGGGGTTCTGCACACTAGTGGATGTTCCAACATCTGTCCTTGTCTAACCGAGAAGGGAAGGATGTGAGAGATCCTAGCGCCAATAGATACCATTAGGAATCTATTGGGAAATACTATGTCATACCAATGAGTGATGATTTAGGTCAATCATATCCCATGGCGCATGTGCACATTATTCTAATGTGAACAGTTTATTGTAATGCAGTCATGTTACTCCCTTAATTACAACAGTTTCTACATGCAGGCCTGTAAGTAAGAATGGCAAGATGCGGAAGGGAAAGAGCCGGAAAGTATCAAAACCCATCGTCATGCTACGCCAGCACAGCCCAGTTTAATACTGAAATTTTCTTTTCACCATTTGCTTTGGTCTTCCCCTCAGCCTATCTATTGATGAGTAGTAGGTCAGGTAGAATTCGGTAATAGTGGGACTCCATCGCTTGATGCGGGCCTTCGAACCGTTCGAAGAGATAATTGTTTTCAGCGGATAGTCTTTCCAGGCCAGGCTTCCGTGAGCTTTCGCAAACTATGGTTCAAACACTGCTTGGCTTGAGTTCCGAGAGGTGACTCTGGTGCTGTGAGCAGCATAGCATTGATAACGATATCGTGGCGGGCCGCTTATTCCTGCAGCACCTCTGAGGGGAGGCTCAGAATAACCAGCCCTCTTGTTGGACCATGTTTTTCGCTCGTTGTATCTTCTTGCCATTGTGCATTCATCTTAATCTGTTGACCTTGAGGCCTAGAGCCGTGACCTTTTTTCCGCAAATCCCATGCATCCATTCAGAAGTTTTGGCATTCCTAGCCCTTGCGATTATTGTCTTCAGTGCATCTCCGCCAATCTATACAGGACAATCGTGCCTCGAAGCTTGCAACGCCTCTTGACGTGGTTTTTTGAAGTGTAGAGTAGACTTCAGTGTAGGAAATGCCAGAGAGCGGAGAAGTCTAGTTTTCTGAATCAAATAGACTACGGGCATCACGCTGTATACGGTTGAGTTGCAAGGTAGAAGGGCTGACCGCAACCGAGCTGGCTGCAGGATTAATCGAGTTCCCCGACCAGACAAGAATCATTCACCGACCCAGAATGCTGGGGCATGCGGAGTAAATAACGAAAAAAGCTGTCGGAACGATTTATCTAGCTGGAGTTTTTTGGAGCTGGCGGTTGTTGCATCGCGTGGACTAAAACTCTTGATGTGTGGATTCTGACATTCGGATAAAGCATTCTCCGAATGTAAGCTAGAGAGCAATTCCATAGCATCAATTCAGAGGAACACGAATAACCATGAATGCGCATCTCTTCCGAACGATAGTTCGAACTACTTCAACGAGTACTCTCATAACTTTGAGTGAACCAATAGACTTTCATGGTATGACCTCTGTCATACCAACAAAAGCAAGTGCTGGATTTGTTCGGTGGGAATGGGGCTCAGACTCAGGCATTGCGTCGGATTGGATCAAGCGTGTAGATTTCTACCTGATCTCAAAGGCTAAGTTCAGGCAAGATACAGGCAACGGCATTGGTCGATGGAAAGAAATTCGAAAAGCTGTATTTCCGACGTGGCTGTGAATAATGCGGATGTTCGGCTGCGGAGTGGATGATGTTATTAGGTATAGGGATTAGTGAGTAGACTTACACAATGCCATGCTGCAGGAATATGAGTAGAAAGTGTAAGAATAGACCTGTGTCCTTTGATTGTAGCTGCGCCTATGGCACTATATACATGCTCGCCTAACCAACACACTGCTGGCATATGCTGTGGCCTAGTCTCGACTACTTGGTCTCGCATGATAAAACCTCTTGTTGGTATAGATTGGACGACGCATCTCTGTGGGACGACGATGAAAAAACGAATCATTCTCGTTACATTTCAGTAATTGAAGCACGCATGCAACATGAATGTGCTATTTTGCACATGTGGGCAGCTCTATGGGCTAGATACCTTACGCCCCTTTTATTCTAGCTTGAAGTGCTGTATTCACCTTTTCGGTCGGCGATCCCAAAACATTCGAGAGAATTGCATTGTGGCCGAGGACGGAACTACTTTCATGATAATACTGCTGGGATAGACTCAACAGTACACGGGATATTTTTCTTGCTCGACGATATAAACTAGGTACAGAATACTGTAGAAAAGATACAAAGAGCTTGATAACAATCTCACCATTAGAATCCTATCAATATCCGTTGATCTAAACATTAGAGCAGTAAGATTTTGCGATATAAGGCACCACTTTAATCTTTTCACTTCGGCTACCAGGGACTTGCCTTTCTTCGACATAGTAGTTTTACGAAGAACTAGACATCATGCTTTTCTAAGTAAATTACCATAAACTATTATTATACCAAATTCATGTTTAAAGTAGACCATGAAATGTTTAACGTCAATCTTCCGCCCTTAAAATAATCATACGCCCAAAATTCTATTCTCACAACCCTATAAACTAGTATTCCGCAGTATAGAATAACATTCATTTGGAGACTCAAATACAAACCAATCTTCTTTCGGAATACCTTTGAATGCCTTACTAAACCTGGTGGTTTCATTTCTACTTCCAATACTAGTAGACGAAATATCCGTTACTTTTCGAATCAGAATGAGCCTGATCCAACCTGGATGCATCCGATATCTAGAGCCTCGTGAGAAAGTGGAGATTTCATAGAAATTTAGACTCACAACTCGGCATATACCTCCGGATCTGATTGAGTAGAGTCCCCTATGCAAATCATCTTTCGATTGGGTAGCCAAGAATGTATCTTTTTCATGTAGTCGATTTTGAATGTTTGAATACCAAGGGTGAAATTAGATAGTAAAAATGAGGGGTCGATCCAACTTATATTTCGTAGAGCAATTGTACCATAAGGAAAGTAATTCTGGCGAAATGTATGAAGAAACGGATAAAGATTATACGGCGATGCGGATAAATAAAAGAATGGCGGATAACTTATTAATATTTGAATATAAGAAAACAACTCTGGCATCCCTTTAATCGGGCTTGGTTCTGCAACGAAGGTTTCGTGCAGAAATCCCATAGGATCCGAAGTTTGGGTCAACTTGATTGTATCATCGATATCTGCATAGATTAATTAGCCAGAGATGGCTTAGTTATGTATAAACATACCAGAAATGACACCCCATCCCTCTGGTCCAGCGTATAGTGTCTTCATTTCAAGTAATCCCTCTGATTCTGGGAGTGCTCGCACCTTGCTTGTTATTATTGTTCCACTCTTGAATTCTGGTAGACTTTTAATGTCACTACTGATGCAATCGAGACTCCCCGGACTCATTTTTATCTGTTTCTGACTTCCAAAATCAATCTTGACTATTCTTCCTGGGACTACCGAACGGACACAAGGTATAAGACGCTTTTGCATGACTGCTTTTGTCTCGTTGCCACTTCCAAGCCCGATCCCTATGGCAAAATCTGCAACAGCACTGGTCACACCCACCGCAGCCTTCTGGTTGAAAATAACAACGGTAAACTCTGCTTCCCATGTTCCTTGTTCATTCATGTATGCTGTGTTGTCAAAAATCCAAACTGAATTGTTTTTCTTCGCACTCTGCTGTGATGAATTTCGGCGTCCGAAGAATTCTAAAATTTTCATTACGCTCATCGATCGGGATTTCCATTTTTTCTTCTTTTCTCTTCTTTGTAACCATGATTTCTTTTCGATATCACTAGATGCCATGCCTTATTTGAGCACAAGTTGGGAGTTTGAGTCTACTTCATATATATCCCAAAACTATCACGTGATTCGTATTATGTACTCAAAACCTAACGAAATAGATTCACTTTATTTGCCTTAAGTTATAAATATCTTCACTATTTACATCTTGTTGTACAATGTAAGCTGGGAACTGGATATGTCAAATACATGGTGATAATTGATTAATGAGTCTCCGGTAGCGATAGTGAGGCGGTTGCGGTTGGGCAGCCCGTTATATGTCATCATGTTGATCCTGAAAGCGCCGTGTTAAATGATTTGTCAGGCCTTTAGACTAAATTTTGTACCACTAATCAGAAAAACTATAGTTCCGGCAGCTCTTAGAATACGCTAGCGAATGGTTTTGATCTTGTGACCAGTTTAGACGCTTTTGACTTTATTGATATGTGTCATTCTCTTTGACCTCTGACAGAGCCGTATTAAAATGAGTAGTTGAGAGTATAGTTCTACTTTAACGTCTACTTGAAGTTCAATACCGGCAGAACTAAAAACAAAAACGAAGTTGAGCCTTAAAAGTCGGATTTATACGTCATTTTTGGTAAGTAGAAGTATGGGCTTCTATATGGGATATAGCGTGTAAGTGGAGCATTTTAAATGAAATGGATCAAAAAGTAGATTGCCTTTCGGGTTGTTATTTGTCAGATTGATCTAGTCTTTAAATTCAATCTATCGCTTGAGTTCCGTCTCTGTTATTCTGACGAAGCCCCAAAGTATGAGCTAAATTCTCTTTAATAAATGTCTGCGAATGCTGTTTGACATGTCATATAAAATTTTCCATTGATATTTTAGCCTATAAATTAGTGAAGTCGTATTCGTAGGGTTTTCGCACGCATCCCCTTATGTGGTGATATACATCTATTGAACCCTGAAAGATGAGGTAAGAAGGATAAAATGCGGCTAGGCACTCGGTTATGTTTGACAACGTCATAAAGCTGTTTGGAATACTCAAGGCAATTAGAAATCACTTGGAGTCTTGTTGTTCCCTATTCACGTGACAGTATGCCATTCCACAGGTCCGATGTCACCGGCGGGATATCGGGAATTTCATTATATAAGTCGTTTCTAATTATAGGTGGCAGGTGGAGTAAGCGTCCGATTGCGGGTCGACAAACACCTCTGTATCCTGGCTCCTCATCCGATGGACTGTATGAGCTCCAGAGATTTGTCTTTGAGAAAATTAAAATATTTCAAATGGCTATATATCAAGAACATTTTCAATCTCAATCCTAACCGCTGAGTGCAGTTTATCTGGCGTTGATATGGCAGCGTGGCTCAGTTTTCCCGTGACGGTCGACGAAATCGGCATTGATACAATTGGACGAACTATGTCGGGTAGACTCTCCCGACAGCTTGCTGTAATGCAAGCGTTCGCTACACTACAAGAGTTTCCTCGACCAATACTTCTTACCAATTCGTGCGTTGAGCTATCAAGACTCCCATCGTCCCATTGACCTCAGTGGCTGGGTAATCAGGAGCATTTTGCGCGTTTCCGGCGTGTCTATCCTATGTGTTTATTGTGAACGCCTTGGATTTATCTAGTGCAGTAGCTTTGTTCGATTGTTATTGTCCCCACCCATATTTTGTACCCGCTAAAGTCGCGCCACGCGACGTGACTGAGACATTTTTCTAATATTAACCAGGTCCGCCACTTACCATTTTCAAGAGGTAGAAAACCTCAGACATGAAGCAGAAAGTCTGGGAGAATTTTATTTCCCTGCAAATTTGAATATGATTGTGTTCGTGAATCGCATTAAAACGCTTCAGCAGCCCTTTACATGCAACCTATAGTATTGGAACGAGAAAAGACGATAATCATAAGGGTGCATATATATAAAGTTATACATCTTTAACTAGGATTCAATTACTGGTAATACTAAGATATCGTACAGCTGAGCTTTATTCCATTATCTCCCCTTTCGCAGTCTAACACTCTTTAGGACATGCCGATCCTTTCCACCTACAGGATATGAATACGTGTCCCTTGGATATTGTCTCTATTATGCATCTCTCAATTTATTCCGTAATTTGCACTTCGGGATAAAAAGGAGACCGTATTGAAATGCCATAACAGTCTTGACAGAGCGTGGATACTATAACGCAGCTTGGCCCAACTTCAAAGTGCCATCCTCGGTTGGTGAAAGATCTGTAGATTCAGTGACAGTAGAAACGCTTCTAGCTAGTGTTCGACTCAACCTCCATAACAAGAATGGTAAAATCAGCTAGATTCCTCGAGTTGGCAATTATCAGCATCGTCCTCTGCAGATTCTAAACTCAATCGTAGGACGGCTCAGAGAATTAGCATTGCGAGCATGATCGCTCAAATAGAAGCTTTTATATTTTTGCCTGGTATAGATTTCCAAATGAAAGGAGTGATTTCCTAGTAACCCTTTAGGAGAAATCCAAGTAAATGGCAGCAAATGAAGGAAATTAAATTGGAATAATGCAATGAGGATTTCAACGAATTGAAGAGGAATTAAATTTATGTTGTAAATTTTTGGGATTAGAATCACATAAAAAATGAGTCATAGCTAGGCAGTTGAATGCACGTTGGATGATGAATAAAAAAAGCCAACAACTGAAGGTGCCGTGGTCCATCTCAAGATAGAGTTTTGATCATCCTAATCGTACTAAACATCCCGAACATCATGTCCTGGATGAGGTTTCAAAGCTCGAGACAGCTAGTCAGAGAGGATGTGTCGGCCAAATTCCCAATGATTATCATTACTAGATTCAGTGGGTTCCAAACTATCAGGTGTTTGATAAGATGTGTCAGAGCTGAATAGAATCTACTTGGCAGACCGGCCCGGATGTTGTACCATTGGACCATCCCGCCATGGCGGTGATAACAATCTCGTTTGCGCCTTGGAAATCAAAGTCGCGTCTCACAATGGTTGGGATGAGAAACTTCTTTCCGAAAATCCTTGTGTAATGCTTTCCAAGACATCGTCCATCTATACTATCATACTGCCTATCTGTCCTAATCTATCTCGCACCTATGCCAAAAATTTGCCTCCCAGAATTTTGCAGCCGAGTTTTGTCCTCATGTGGGTATTATTAGATTATGATTCCTTTAGATGAATAGAACAGTGTAGCTGGAAGTAAATTCTATAAAGTATAGGTTTAACAAAACGTGTATTGTTTCTACAGTCTCAGCATTCCCTAAGAATGCTGCAGCCTAGCTCGTACCAACGTTCCACTACTAGGCTCACCTACACGCAATATGAAACTACTCATACAGGGTATAGGTTGGATGGTGCAGTGGTACATCATCCGGGCCGTCCTCTCAAGTAGATGCTGGGTAGCTTGAACAACTACCCCATTCGAGACAGGAGAAAGCTGGTTCGAGTCCAGTAAAACCCACACACCACTCTCTCTCGCCGTGATGTTATACTTGTGGGATGATGAAAGCACACTCGGATAGCCACAGATTTTCACGCTTTTCCCTGTGGTGGGTATGCACGGAAGAGGTTATACGCCGTAAGGGTTAACCTCTGGTGGTATCTGCAAATGAAATCTGAGTGTGAGTGTTCTAAAGGTCAAGTTGAGTCGTCCTTCTTCAAGTACATATCCTCCGATAAAAGCCTGCATGAGCCTCAAGGTGCAAAATCAGGATACTGGATGATTTATTTAAAGTCTCTTATGGATAGAAAAAGGTAATTGGTCGAAATGACAGGGGTTGGACCCCTGTGCATCTTGACTAGATTGGTTTGGTCTACATGCAGGCCCATATCAAGTTCGTCTACTAGTTATGCAACCAAGGATTCTATCCAACGATCTTCTGGAAAAATCAAAATTAATGGGGGTGGTTTTCAACTCTAAAGGAAATGTAAATCGGTCCTCATTTAAAATTTTTTAATAAAAAAAATCAATTGATATTATCTAACAATACACATCTATTTCAAAAATAATTGCTCTGTATTACAAAAGTCTACATCGAAGCCCTCAGTATGGCTCGCAAGTAAAATGAAAGCGTACTGCATCCTTTGTATTAGTCAGCTCCATTCCAATACTTTGTGTACTCTCCATTTGCCTCATCACCGCTATACATTTTTCGTGCATGCTAGCGACAAGTGACGATAGTTCTTAAGAATGGATAGGGTCCCATGCGGTCTCTAGCAATATTCTTAACGTGGCAGAGCGTACAAGCCTGACCCAATTTATTTCTGGACTATTTACCTGAATGTGATTTTTTAAGGTATTCCAAAATGACTCGATCGGGTTCAGGTCCGGAGAGTAAGGTGGCCATCTAATAGGCGTTATTCCAAACTCACGCAGCGCCTCAATCTTTGAATATGCTTTGTGACATGGTGCATTGTCGTGCATGTATAGAATTTCTGGATTTTCCAAGTGAAATTGATTCAAAAGAGGCAAAATCCTTTCACAAAAGGATGAGGCCCTCATTGATCCCCAATCCCTCTCCCTGACTAGGAATGGGCCTTTCTGTGATCCATAAAATGATTCCCAAAATATCCAACTGTTCCCATGAGCATGATAGGCTACAATACAGGTCTTATCAAACTCATCATCAGGCCAAACTCTGCTGTTATTACGAGGAAGATTTTGATAGAATTTATACGTACCTGTGACGGAAACCAAGTTGGTGATGAATAAATCGATTTAATAAACTATATGAGGAGAAAAGCTAACTCTAGCTACTACTAACAGGTATTTATAGGAGTTAATCCTCCTCGTGAATCTACAGACTAGTGACTTGTCCTCAGGCTCAATACTTCTACCCAGCCACGTATTTCCAGGTGTCACTAAGTTGTAATGACGCTTCAGCCTCCTGAGTAGTAGTGCCGTTTTGTTCAGCTTCATCTCCACCCCCATACAGCCTCATTGTAAGGATTCTTAGTATCAGGCTTAGGTATCCACCTAAGCTCAAACAACGGTCAAACCGTAACAGTACCTTTCTTGTGACACAAGGTTTCATATGAGAATCACCCGATACTCAGGTTTCATCA